AGGGCCAGGATCGAATCTGCCTCGGCGCTGATGATGTTGGCAGTGTCTGGCTCAGGCTGGACCTGTCATGATATGAGGAGGGGGAAGAGAGGGCTGGCACGTACAGGAGATGCTCACATGGATAGGCAGCTGTGCAGAGCCCCTGGCCCTGATCAGTGCTCTGTGCAATTTCCCTGGCCAGATCCACCCTTCACTCCAGAGCTGTAGAGGCTGGACCAGCCCTGTGGCTCACAGGAATTGCTTGTGAGGCAGGAGAATTGTTTATTATCCTTTTAAAAGGATCACTTTTGCTCAGTCCTGTTCCCATCAGAAGTCAGAAGGGGTCTGGAGGCTGCTCCTTGGCTTCATTGTGCACCAAGAGGGTTCTGGGCTGAAAATCTGACTTTCCATTTGCCCAGCAGAAGCACATGTCTCTGTGTCACCTGCACCTTGGGCCACAGTGCAGATGGTTGGGGTGGTTGTGCCCAGCACCTTGTCATGGTGAGCTGGGGATGGAAGAGCAGGAGAAAGGCCAAAGCTACTGACAGGAGAGCACCATTGCCAGGCCCCTTGCACCGGGCTGCTCACACAGCTCAGCAGCCCAGAGAAACTCCTTCCCTGGTGCTGCCGCAGCTGAACCACCTAATGCAATGTAGTCGCCTGTGCATGCTATATTAGGGTTACCATGGATATGGTGCCACAAACACAGGGCTGTGGCTTTGTTATATAAACAGGAGAGGTTGCCACAAATACCCGAAATATCTGAAAAGGACAGGAAGAGACAGCAGCGCTCTCTGGGTGTGTTTGGGAAGGGCTGTCTGATCTGGTGGATAGCACCGGTGGGAGAGATCTGCGTTAGCTGGAGCAGTGGAGCACAGCGGAGCGGTGGTCCAGGACCCAACAGCCCTGGGGACTCCTCCAATCTCTAGCAGGGTCTGTCTGAAACGCTCCACGTCCTGCCCTACCCATCTTGGGCACTGGATCCTGCAGCACACACTGAGAAGTGCATCGTTCTTCATGCTCAAGTTCATCCCAGCTGAGCAGATCTTGGCCTTATCCCATTCCTGCCATATGCAAAGAGATCCTAATGCCCGCAGCTGCTGGGGGCCAGGACTGGGAATGGTAGTAGAGACCTACAGTCATCAGCTCTCCCAAAACTGGCCATATGTGACCCTGCTCAGCAAGACCATCCAACTGATCCTGTACCATTTCAGGTACAGAAAGTCCCTTGTACAGTTCAAGGAATCATGAAATTTGAAGAAAAAGCTGCTCTAGGAATGGAGGTGGGATGTAAGGGAGATAGAGACATCAGAGTGGCTAAAATTGTATTGTACTCCCACTCCCCTGCCAATAAAACCACCATAAATAAAGTGGCTTTGCAATAACCATCTCCACGCACTGTAACACAGATCCACATGTCCCTGCAGAAGATGCTCCAAGCAGGATAAACTCGAGTCATGTTCTGCAAGAGGGGCATGCCAAGCTTGCTCCAGTCCTATTATGGCAATGACTCTTCCCAGCAGGTGCTACCCCCAAGCTCCCAGCCTCCATCAATAGCTTCTTCCTCCCACCCTCCATGCTCACCAGTGGGTGACGTTCCCAGCCCACGTCTGTTTCAGTTCCTCCCTGGCCTTCCAGCTGCCTTTCTCCATGGATGACCATGTATCGCTTGTTTTTTCTCCTATTGCTCTCCTTGTGAGTCCAAGCAGACATCTTCCCATGCTTTGCTATCTGACATGTGGTGGAGAATGCCAAGCTCAGTAAGGAAAGATCTGCTGCATCACTTAAAACCACACCAAATCCATTTCTTGCTCTTTCAGATGCAGGACAGCCTGCTTTGCCCTCGCACATGACCTGCTATCCCTCATTTTGCAGGACCCCTCTTGCTTTTGTTGAGGTGACCTCTCATGTCTCCAGAGCCGTGGGGAAGAGTTCTTCAATTTGGTAAGAAACAACAGCAGAAGAAGCTGGAATGTGCTGCAGGCATGGGTCCAGGGCAGGGCTGGCTGCCATGTGAGTGTTCAGGGGGTGGGCTGGTGCCGAGTCCTTCTGCAGGGGGCTCTGCTCTTTGATGACAGCCTTTCTTGTTGCTTTTCCTCGAGCCATTGCTTTCCTGCAGTAAGCTGCTTCCTGGAGATTACACAGCAAGCCAGGATCAGCATCAAGAGGAGCTGATCCAGGAAGAGACATGGGGCCAAAAGAGCCTGAGGAGTTTGAAGATGCAGCTTTATCAGCTTAGCAAAAGGGTTGATGCAGTGAATGACAAAGGCTGCAGGCCCTGCAAGCTTGAAGTTTGTAATAGACAAGTAAAGCAGAAGGTCGAATAAAGGGTCAAAATAGTGGATAAATATGATTTCCTTCGGAAAACTCAACGTGACTTCCCTACAGGGTGTGCTTGCCCTGCAAGTCTCTTGATAGCCTTAAAGGGATCAATAAGCTGAGGGGGAAGGTGTTTCCAGGAGATGCAGTCTCTTTGGCTCTCCCAGACTGTCACGGAAGGCTCTGCATGCTCCCACCATGGCACAGGTGCCCATAGAAGGATTATTCCCCCAGCTCCTCCAGAGCCCCTTCAGTCCAGCAGCCACCTGATATTCCAGCCTCTGTGGTGAGGACTGAGTAAAGGGGCCTGAGGGAGTCTGTGATGAGCATCCTTAAACTCCCCCCGCCTCTCTAAGCCCTCCCTGGGCACTGCTACCCAGCGCAGTGGCTTCACAGGGTCACATTCTGGTTGTCATGTCCAGTGCAGCGGCTTGAGCTGACGGGATGTGCCAGGGGAGCCATTCCCCGGTGCAGCCTCGGGGCACCTCTGCCCATGCTGCCGTGGCTCAGGCTGGTGCCACCCGCCAGTCTGGGTGTGCGGTGCCAGTCGTGGGCCGGGGTGTGAACGCTGTGAGTGTGGAGCACGCTGGCTTGTGGCACTGGGCAACCCGTCTGTTTGGGTTAAAGCACTTCCTTAAGAAGCAGTTTCTCTCTGTGGCTGCTTTGTTAATTCTTTTAAGCAGATACATCCCTTGCCACACTGAGGTTGTTGCCTTCAAGGACAGAAATCTCAGAGCAGCACTTGGCAGCCCTGGCCCCAGGGCACCTTCAGCTCTGAACCTACCTGAAGCAGAGCGGTAAGCCACAGGGACCCGTGGGTGTGGGAGGGACATGGAGCAAGGTCACAGTAACTGATCTTCACAGAACTGCTCTTGGTGTAAGTAGAGCTCATGCCAGAGTCCAGAAAACAAGCCCTATACTTGTACAAGGCAGCCCAAGCATTCACAAAATCCTTGTTCTAACACTGTTTTTCCTTGCTTCTGTCCTGGGCTCAAACAAGTGCAGAATTGCTTTGACATCCTCACTGGGAAGCGAGGAGGCTGTTTATTGCAGTGCAAGAGTCCAGGCACAGGAACTGGAATGAATGTCCCAAGCAAAGAACCTCCATCATTCATATTTCTGAGCAGAGATACAGTGATAAATTGCCAGACAATGACATTTGACCCATAGAAGTAATAAAAAGCTAAAATTGTTTTTTTCCTGGCATAGTTTTGCAATATCTTTTGCACATAGTCCAAGCAACCTTGAAGGAAACTGAACTGGAGCCATGACATAGCCAGCTCAGTACTAACTGATGCAGCCCGTAATAATTAAACAATAATAGTCTTAAGTAGACTCTCTAAAGATAAACTGTATTTTGCCCCCTTGCTTTCATTTCTTGTCATTAGGCTGCATGACTTGCCTTTCAGATCTCTGCACAGGCATTTGAACTGCATGCAAAGTGTGATGAAATTACTGGCAGCAATTAGTTTATTTAGGGAGCAATTAATTAAATGCAACTGTTTCCCTCTCCATAGATTAAAAGAGTGCTATAAGTGATACCATCTTAAAAAGAGCAGATGTGCTATAAAAGGACCAGAGACTAATTATTCTCATCAGTCAACAAGGACAGAACAAGTATCGATGGGCTAAAACTGCCAAAGAGAAAAATTAAGTTAGCTCATAGGGATAACTCTGCAACTGGAAATGCGAGTCAGGGAATAAACACTGTGGGACAAGAGTCACGCGGCCCCACAGCCAGAGGCACTCCAGGCTGGACATGCTCGCCCTCCCTGTGCCATCACTGGGGGCTGGTCAGGGCAGTGGCCTGCAGAAGGTTCCCTGTGGCCCGAGGTGGTTGATGTCTTGCAGATGACGTGGGTGACAGCAGCCAGTGCTGATGGCAGCCTGTGCAATGGGCCCTAAGGACACCCTGAGCATCCCCCGTGCCCGGGGAGTGAAAGCACTGCTTTGCTCAGGGCGGCTGCTGCACTCAGAGATTGAGCGAGAGAGGTTTTGCTTCCCTGTCACAGCAACCTGGGGACGGGGACGACCTTCGTGCATGGCTGGGGCAGGCCGTTCGGTGCCATTGCCTCTGCAGGTTGCCAACCTGCTAAGGGGTGATACCATCTCCAACCGCCGGCGGTGGTCCCGAGTTCTGCTGTTACCAAGCACTGGCTTTTTCAGCTCTGGGACATGACCCTAAGGACTTGTGTCTTGTAAATCACCACTGCAAGTGCCCAGCATGCCCTGTACGTAACAGTGACTTCGGAGGAAGCTGTGGACGAGGGCTTCTGCAGTAGCTGAGGTTGTGCTGGAACAGGCACAGGTTTGGGAAGAGGAGATCTGAGTGGTGGTTTGTAACTGAAACCAGACAGCAAGACCCTCAACACAGCTCCCAGGAAACATGGATGGGGCAAAGTCACAGCACATGTAAAGTGTCCTGCGACCCTTGTGGGGCTAAACGGGGAATGCTGTGGGGTTGTCTCCTATTTTTTTCCCGTGGGAGGTGGGGTGGTTTCCCTGCGCTGGGGATGAAAGCTCCCTCGGCCAAACTGAGGTGTTCCCGGCTCTGTGAGGGGGAATCCCCCGGTTCCATGAGGTGTCCCCCAGCCCCACGGGGGTGACCCGGTTCCATGGGGGGGGTCACCCGGGTCTTCTCCGCTCTTCCCCCGGCGTTGACCCCGCGGTCAGGCTCGCATCCCGGCATCCCCGGTGGGGGTGCGGGGGCTGCTGCCGGCGGTGCGGGGCTCGGGGGGGCCGCTCCGCTCCTGCCGCCGTCATTGGCGGCCCCGGCGGCGCTGGGGTGCGGGGCGGGGAGGGGGGAGCTCCCCCGCGGAGCCACGGCTGCGGGGCCCGGCCATGTGCCGAGCGTAGCTGCTGCCGGTTCCGCTCCGCGCCGCAGCCCCGGCCGCGTCCGCGCCGCGCGGGTTCGGCTCCATCATCTCCTAATCATTTCCAGCTGTTTCTCGTTGGCGCTGGAGCTCTCCGAGGAGAGACTTCGGGAGCCGCGGTCCTCACCTGCGAGATCCGGCACAATTCCCCCGGTGAAGGTAAGCGAGAGAGAAAGGGCAGCGGCGCGGGGGCTCCGGCACTGCACACGCACAGGCACTGCCGGTTCCCGGGCTCCTTCTTCCCGGCTCTCGCCACACCGGGGTCCTTTGCGGCGCTTCTGCCCTGTTTACTTCTCTCCCACCACCCCCTCGGCGCATCCTGAGCCGCTCTCGGCAGCGGCGGGATGGCCGCTCCGCGGGAACCGGCGGAACCCGCGGGGATGCCGGCGAGGGGGAAAGCAGGGACAGCCCCGGCTGCGAGAGCTGGGGCTGGGAAGTGATTTGGAGGGGGTCAGAGCGAGCAGGGAATGGAGAACTGCATAGCATCTGCTCCCCGATAGCCGGTCTCAGGGAGACTGGTCAATTCCCCCTACCTTAGACAAGGATGAAAAATACCAGGGTGCTCCAGGCTTGGTTTTCCCTTGTCCTACAGCATCTTTAGTTTCCAAGCCGTGCCTATGAAGGAGGTCATGAAAGCATCTCACAGGGATGGGGTGGGAAAGCTGTCCCTATCCCCTGGCTTGCCTGAGTTACATCCTTCTCTGCCCCAGGGACAGCTTATCCTTTGCACCGTCAGCATGGGGCTGAAAGTGAACATTCTTGGTAGCCTGTCTGGGTATTTCACCAGGACAAAGGTTTGTTTCTGTCTTGTGTCCTGGCTCCAAAGGACATTGGATCCAGAGGAGTTTGTAGAGACCATCTCAGTCCCAGGTTAGGCATCAAACCACCCAGCTCGCTCACACACAGTGAAGCAATGGTAATGGAGAGGACTCCAGGTTGAATGTGAGGAAGGCAACAGCACGGTTATCTGTGGGCTGGGTTTTATCACTATTTCATTAATACAGCAGCTGTCCAGGTCTGCGCTTTCCGAGGCACATGGACGTTGTTCAGGACACTGAAGGTAGTCTGCAGGCTCGGGGGGGGGGGGGGGGGGGGGGGCTGTGGGAGGGAGAGAGAAATCCCCCAGGGAAGATGGCTTTTCATTTCCTTGTATCGCCTGGTTTCAGACAGGATTATTTATATTTGACATAACAGATCATCAAACCTGGAAGGCAGTGGGGGTGTGCTCGTACTCATTAAGGTAGACAGTTTTCTGACAGAATAAATTAAAGGTAAGAGAAGACTGCACTTTGAGGTTCAACAGATTGTTTCCTAGCCTAAAATGAGCAGTGAAATCAGCATAAGACCTAGGAGGTAAAATCATGAGCTTCAGTCTTTCATGATGGATATCTGTCATTTTAGGAACCCTGGTGGATATCCCAGTGTTTAGAGTGCAGACAGTGCTCCTGGGTGACCTCAACTGAGCAAACAAACCCAATGTGATGGGGTTTTGGTCACTGGGTTTGTCTTCACTGAGTAAGCATCTAAATTGCAATACCACTAAGGGAAAGCAATTTGCACAAATTGTGTGTGACCCTGTGAGTGCCTGAGCTGCCCCCCTCACCTGTATTTAGGCTCCTGCCCCTTGCGATGGTATGTGAACAATGGAAGGTGGTTTGCAGTCTTTCGCGGTTGGTTTTTGTCTTGTCTGAACTGAGCAGGAAGACGTGTTATGGCTGTCAGGTGGTGAAAAGAGACTTCAAACACCTTAAAGACTGTGCAGCTGTAATTAGAAGTGAGCCTCCTTCTGCGTGTCAGGATTTCTGTGCAGGATGATGACAGGAATGGTGCTGGTGCTCAGTAGATATAAAGAACTTCAACAAAATCCCCTGAAAAGTGACTGATGTTGATTTAGCATCCCTCGGTACATTGGTTCTCACTTAGGAAGGATAGGGGGATGTGAGGTTAAAGGAAGGAAATAGCAGTAAAAATACAGGTAGCTCTTAAATACCTGTGCCTACCTGAGCACTAGTTGCAGGACGTTGCCAGCCCTGTGGTTAGTGGATGGCTCTCCACTGTGTTTCAGTCCGTTTTCCAGCAAAGCCTGGATCCTTCTACTGTCACGTCTCCTGATCTTTTTCCGTTGCAACTGCAGCAGTTCCTAACCCCTCATGTAGGTGAACAAGAGTCAAGCCTGAAGGTTTGGTCTCATGGGCTTTGCAATCTAAGGAGACCATGTTCAGAAGTGACTAAGTGACATCAGACCCTTTTGCTGTCCGTGGCATGTTGACCCAACTTTTTCTAAATGCATTCCCATGTCTAAAGCTGATTGACACCCACAGACCCTGCAGCCATACCTGAACACTCCTTTAGAAGCTTTTCAAAGTTCTTCTGGGCACCAGATTCAAAGAAACAAAGGCGTTTAATTCCCTCAAGCATTTAGTGCAGCCCAGAGAGCTCAGCTGCATTGTCGCAGGCTGAAGAAGTCTGTGCCCCGGTCTTTGGGCATGTCAGGACACATCCTCAGTGCCCAGTACATGGGTCAGGGAGGGTTTTGCCTAACTCAGACCTTTCCATGTGGCTGTACAGTGCCTGGCTGCATTAGTGCTGGTGTAAGAAATGGAGATAACTTGGTACCTTCTTGCTCGCTGTGTTCTGGTACCTGGCTGTCATGTTGTCATGGATATGGATAAGGACGTGGCCAGTTGTCGTGGTTTAAACCCAGTCAGGTAATTTGTTCGCTCACTTCCCCCCCTTTTCTTGCCCTCCCCCTGCTCTCGGAGGGACGGAGAGGAGAATCGAAAAGAATGCAACTCCCACGGGTTGCTCCCCCTGCTCTCGGAGGGACGGAGAGGAGAATCGAAAAGAATGCAACTCCCACGGGTTGAGATAAGAACAGTTTAGTAACTAAGGTATAACACACATCACTACTGCTACCACCAATGATAATAATGATAAAGGAAATAACAAGGGAAGAGAATACAACACCTCAGCACCAGCTGACTGATAACTCGCCCCCCAAGCCCAACCAAGCTCCGACCGATACCTCCTCCAACCCTGCAGTCTCCCAGCCCTTCCGGCTAACTCCCAGTTACCTCCTGGGCATGACGTGCTGTGGTATGGAATACCTCTTTGGTCAGTTTGGGTCAGGTGTCCTGTCTCTGCTTCCTCTCAGCTTCCCCTCTTCCCTAGCAGAGCATGAGGCTCACAAAGTCCTTGGCCAAACCAAAACATCATTGTTATCAGCTCTGTTCCTGAGCCGAAAGTCAAAACACTGCACTGCACCAGCTACCGAGGAGGGGAAACATGACTGCTACTGCTGAACCCAGGACACCAGTGAAGAGGTGCTTGCTGCTGGCAGGCCTTCTGCAGCCACAGCTTGTGATACAGCTTATAACATCAAAGAAAAGCAGGGAAGGGATGGGGAGAGGTGGCAGGAGCTGGGGCTGAGCTTGCCACTTTTTCTCATTCCAATTTACACTTCTTCGCATGACATTGTTGTCGCCTTCTGTCCTTGTGATCTGATTTATTACAGTAGGCAGAGTGTGTTCACCCTTGGCGTGAGAAAAAGGCACATATCCTAGCCCCACAGATTGCAGAGGGATGACAAATAGGTTGGGTGATGGATTCTGACCCTCTTCAGACCTTTCAGATCACAGCTGAGGCCAACCTGGACAAGGCTAGGACCTCAGGAATCTGTGATTCCCATGAGAGCAGCCCTGAACAGAGGTCAGCTGGAAAGGCTGAAGAATAAAATTGAAAGTCATAATAATATTTTGAAACTCCTTGGACACTTCTGTCCCTGGAAAGCTTAATAACAGCCATGACCCATTAACAGCAGTTCAGGGCACCAGAGGGAGGACCTGGCTACCATGGACCGTGCAGTTCTCAAGGTGCCTGTGTCAGAGGCAGCTCAAAAGGGGGGACAGGAGCCGAGCTGCTTGAGGCCTAAGTCACACACAGTGATTGTGCCCCATCCTACGTGGCGCAGAGTGCAGATTTCTCAGTGAGGTTGGAGGGCAGTGGTGTGAGCTGCAGCCTGGGATGCTGCTGCTGGGCATCTCTCTGGTGCTTTTCTGGGCAGGCCACAGAGTGAAAACAAGTGATGAGCCAGGGACTGGAGCAGTTCTGTTCACCCACTTCAGGCAGAGATTTATCCTGCCCATTGAAACAAGCACCTGTGTCGGGTCAGAGCTGGTGTTTGTCTCCATGCAGAACAAATGGCGCTGAGACATCTTCCCCCCATCTGCCCGACCATGAGGCAGCTCCGCCTCTCCTCTGTGCCTCCAGTGCTTCTCTCCCCACCGCTGACCTGCAGGACATATGCCACAGGCAGCAGCACTCACTCAGCACAGCAGCATGGGAGCTCTGCCCTATCCAGTGTGGGAGCCACTGGAGGGGCTGAGGTGGAGGCACAGGCAGCTCTGCTGCCCTGGAACCATCTCTGAGCTTTGGTCAAAGAGATGGAAACTTGTCACTTTCTCCCTACAACACCATCTGACATCAGCCAAGCAATTTGCCTGTGGTGTGTTTCCAGAAATAGTCAGGTCTATGGTAGACACGGGTGACATCTGGATGCATTACTGTTGCATTCAGAAACATGCAGTAAACAAGACAGGGTCTGTTGTTTAAAGGTCATTTCAAAAGACTCCTGGCAAGTTGTCTGGCTGTGCAATGGGTAAAGCCTTAATGGCACTGTGCTAATTGCCTTTTTCTAAAGGACATTTTAGAGGAAAGCTAGCAGAAACCCAAAAGCAAGTCTTTGTGCACCCTTGCCAGGCCAGCGACCTGATCCAACCTGAAAACAGGAGGAGATTTTCTTTTTACTTCAGTACCGGATGGATCAAGCCAGGGAAACGTGTGCCTGGCTGTGGGGAGCACAGGCGGGGGACGTAGAGGGGACCACCAGCAGTTCAAAAGTAAAAACCAGCCTGAGATCAGCATAATAGGGCAGCAGGGCTCACATCAGCAGGGAGGGCAAGAGAAGGAGTTCTCCCCAAGGCTCCGAAAATGAGTTTGAGCAGTAGATAGAGCAGGTGCTGCTGAGCACCTGAGCAGAGGGCAGGCAGCTCTGCAGGCAGAGGGAGGCTGCAGCACTCGAGGCCGCTGTAGGAGACACTCTGCAGCCCGCACGTTTACTCATCATGGCCCAGCCCAGGCAGCACACAAGGGAAAGGAGG